GAGGCTTAACCCACTGAGCCATCCAGGTACCCCAAAGAGAAAATCTTAAAAGGAGCTCACCAAAGAACAGTTGGGCCAGCAGCTGCCTTCTCTTCAGCAAAAAGGAAGGCAGAAGGTAGTAGAACACTGTCCTCTACCTCACCACAATGAGGTGCCAGAAGGAAATGACTGTCAGCCTAGAACTATATACCCAGCAAAACTCTTAGATTGAGGAGGGGGAAACATAGGCTTTCTTCAGAAAAAAGTTGCGGAGTTTACCACCAAAAAATACTCCTAATCCGAGGAACTTTTAAATCACGCTCTTCAGGAATAAGAAAAATTATCCAAGAAGCTAGGTCTGAGGCACAAGAAGAAGTGATGAGAACATGGTCAACGTGGAGGGAAGTTATTTGAAGCAAATATTAATAGGGTAAAATAATCACGATGACAGTGTTTTGTTAAGTTAAATATATATGGTAAGTTTTCAAGGGTAGCCAATAAAGAACAGTTCTAAAATTCGGCTCCCATCAGAATCACCTGGGAGCATTGCTAAACTACAGATTCCCGGACCCACCCCTCAGAGCTCCAGCTGCAGGAACTCTGGGGCAGGCTCCCAGACTTTGCATCGATAACCAGTTCCCAGCTGCTGCTGATGCGACCGGCCCAGGGACCCCACTTTGAGAACGACTGAACCAAAAGCGGAGAAATTGGGTGGTTCACTTCCAGACCAATAGAAGGGGGAAAGGCAATGAGAAAACAACCAACACCTTCCATCTAACCCAGCTCTGTTCAGGGAAAAGATCGTAAAAGCCGCATACGTAATTTTAGATTTTCTGGTAGACACGTTAAAAAGTAAAAACAGGTGACATGAATTTTAATAACAATTTTGATTTCACCCGATATACCCCCAATATTATCATTTCAAGATGTGATCAACATGAAAAATATGGAGATTACTTTTTCTTCTCTTCTTGGAGAAAGCCTTCAGAATTCAGTGTGTATTTTATCCCATAGAGGCTTCTCAACGTTGACGAACCACGTAATAAGACAGAGCTGGTCTAGACAGCAACAGACGTGAGCTTGCAGAGGACAGAGGTCCCCACTCAAACCCTGAGCAGCCACTGCATGCCAGACACTGAGCTGAGCGGTTAGAGCACCATACGTCACCTCGTTCAGTCCTCACTTAGACCCGTGAGATTAGACGTTATTATCATCCCATTTCCTAGATGGTAAAGGTGAGGCTGAGAACAGTCAAAACACTTCCCCAAGAGAAGCAGAAGAGCCGGGACTCAAACCCAGGTCTCTCATATGCCAATGCCAACCTCAGAACCTCAATACTTTACTCTGTAGAGTCTTTTCTGTAATAGACCAGAGAGTAAATGCTGTAGGCTCTTGGGACCAGACAATCCATCTGGTAGGAGAAGGTACAACCTCTTCTTCCAGAGTCGGCCTCGGTCCTCCCCGTGTTCGGAAGGATCCAGACCGATCGGCCTCCTGGCGATACTTTCTCAGACGACCAGGGCCTCAGCCGGCCTCTCTAACTCACTGCCTGACTATAAATGTGAGTTATTCCCCCTCTTTGGGTTGAGACAGAGGGGAGATAAAAGCCAGGATTGATGGAATCCCAGACATAAAATCGGGCACCATAGTGCCTGCATTTTGGAATCTGCCTTTAATTAATGGTTTATGAGCCCCAAAGACGCCCCCCTCTTCAGGCCTTCTGCAGTTCATCTCGGAGCTCAGTCCTGGGTGGCGAGGGCAGGGTGGCGAATGGCTGTCTTTCTTCAGAAACCAAAATGTGTGGTTTGCTTGTCGGACCCCAGCTCTGCCTCGGGCATTCCTCAAGCCTAGACGCCCTAAGTCAGCTCTCCTCTCTGGCCTGAGGCCTGTGAGCTGCGGAGTGATGCACACGTATCCACACACACACCCGAAGTTTGCTTTTTCTCTTTGTCCCCTTATCTGTCACCCCCCCCACCACCCTCTCCTCATTCTCTCCTTTTTCCTGTTTCTCTTTGTGTCTTTGTTGTGTCTGTGGCCCTGTTCCTCTCCTGAAGGCTTGCTCTTTGAGTCTCTCTCTCCAGCTATCTCTTTTTTTTCTTTTTTCTCTTTTTCATTCCTTCCTCTTTCCCCTACTGCCTTATAGCTTTTACCTGGGGAGGCCTAGCCCAGGGCCACTCCCCCACCCTGGGCATGGGATAGACAAGGCCATCCCTCACCTGACAGGGAGCCCCCCACTCCTACCTGGACCAGGTGGGAGTCCTACTGGGACGATGCATGCCTGCCCTGGGACGGGGGTGGGGGGGAATCCCCTCAGCCCCTGAGCTGAACTCAAGCCACATTTCATCCCAGGAAGGCAGAGGGACTGAGGCAAGTACGGAGCGCCTACTATAGGTACACATCCAGAATTTATACGAGTCATTAATCTGGGAGGTAGAGAGTATTATTATTATGCCCATTTTATACATGGGAAAACTGAGACTTGAAGAAGTGAAGAAATTAACCCAGAGCCAAGGTCTGTTCAACTCCAAAGCCTCTTTCCACAAGTCCAGTCCAAATGGACAACACGGGCTATGTCTTGGAATTTCAGGTAACCAGATGTGGTGACGTGCATCTCTCCTCTTCCCAGAAGCAGGTGACGGAGATGGGACTCAGTCACAGATAAAGCACAGAGACTCTCAGCTCTTTCCAAGCCAGGGAGGACACACCCACCTTGCGTGCCAGAGGCTCACACCTGTAGGACCCAATCAGAAGGGCTTCCCTGCAAGCCAGACCTGTCCTGGGGAGCCAGGGACCAGGAGGAGGGACACCGAGGGTGGCGACAGGAGGCAGCAGTCTCACCAGGCAGAAACTCAGAAACTCAGGGAGGGTGGGGGGCAGGCAAGGCTGCAGAGGAAGCTGCAGATTCCACATTGCCACATTCCTGGGCGTCATGGCAACACAGGCTCAGACCAGCGACCTGCTCAGAGCTCCGTGCCATCTGCCGTTTCTCTGGGGGCAGGGAAGAGACCTTCTACCTACCTAGCATCCCCAGTCATGGAGTCCCCAGAGCAGCCCTGGGAAGGAGGGCAGGGAACTGCATTATGCATTATGCCAACCCTAGGGTGCATAGAAGCATGAGGCATCTTAGTGGCCCGCTCTGAGTTAGGTCGCTCTGCTCAGTGCCTGCTGGACCAGGAGTGGCATCCTCCTGGCCAGCAGCCATGGGCTCCCAAGGGCTCTTGGCTGAGAAGCTAGAGGCCCCCCAGTGCTGGGGAGAAAGGTTTAAGCAGAGTGTGTATGGTATGTGTGTATGGTCCCCAAGCGGAAACAGCTACTTCCAAAGAGTTTCCATGGCAGGGGCAGGGGAGGGCTGAAGGAACTCGGGAGAGGGGCTTTGTGACTCGAAAAAGACTTCTAGGCTGCATGTGTCCATTTCAAAAATAACATGCCTCAATGCAGAAAACATGGGAGACAGGAAAGTGTACACACACATGAGAATACCCTTGCCCACTCACAGGGGCACACACACACAAAACATTCACACATAGAGACTCACACACAATTAACCCATCACCCCTTTCCAGACACAGACTTTTAACATTTATTCATCTAGTATTTTATATGTATAAATGTATAAATATACATATATTACAGTTCTACATCATAGAATCATGTGTATCATTTTTTAAATGCGCTGGGATTACATCGTACCTGCTGTCTCGTACTGTCCTTTTTCACTTGCCAATAGATTATGAACATTTTCCCATGTCAAAAATATCCTTCAGTGACACCTTTCTCATGAACCACATATTTTCCAGTGCATGAATGGGAGGCATCCTTCATTTGGACGAACTCCCATCAATAACCATCTATACCGCTTCCTACTTAATTTTTCCAATTTTTGTTAGAAATGCGTATGTTCAAAAAAAAATGAAATGCATATGTTCATTGTAGAATTTTGATGATGGACAAAAGTACAGGAAGAGGAAAGTAAGCTCATTCCTCCTGGCACCCAAGCTCAGTAACTGTAACTATCCGTGTGATTTCACACGTTGTTGTCACCACTAGCTTGATTTGATGGATAAGCATTTTTTACATCGTTACGATAATTTACAATGTACAGTATCATCAGGGTCCTTCCTAACCAGGCTTCTTTTTTTAATATTTGTCATGGTATTGAGTTTGGGTGGATGTTGATTTAACCCCATTTTAGAGAAGGAGACTCTTTCCATCTCGGTCAAGTTGGCCTGAACCTGGTCTACTTCATCAGGTCTGTCCAGCCATGGATTGAAGAGTAGGGTTAGGAAGTGCTGGGGGATAGACATTTTCGCCTACGAGGGGCTCCTCCGGAATCAGGTTTCGGTGTGTTGAGGAATGGAGCTGAGGCTCCGTGTATCCTAAGAAAATAAATCACCCAGCTACCCAGAGATGACTGCCACTGCGTTGATTACCATAGCAAAAAACGGGGAACAACCCATGCTCATCAATGAGAAAGCATCCTCTGATGACTCCTGGGCCATCAAAAGGTATCACAGATCTCTACGGAGATGGAAGGCAGTCCTCCACGGTGTCAATGAGAACGGCGTATTACAAAACAGAGAACGTTGTGTCTGCGTGCGGGTCTCTGTGTGTTTGTAAGCGTGGGTCTGTGTGTGTTTGGAAATGTGGGCATTTGTGTATCCCGAAGAATATTTAACTACAACTAACAGCTGCTGTCTCTGAGTGGCGTGGGATTTGGGGCAATTTTCACTTTGTGTTTTATTTTCATTCTTTTCTAGATTAAGTTTTTAAAAGTCTGTGCTTTTGGGGGGAACAGATTACTTTTGTAATGGGGGAGGGGCAGCAAAACAAAACAAAAGCCATTTGGATTTTGGAAAGAAGAAACACATGAGAGGGACTCATCCCCACCCTCCCCCTGTACCCCAGGAGCGCAGCATCAGGGGTGCAATCTGCCCAGTCCCTGCCTCCCCACCCTGCCCCCCCACAAGCCTCCCACAGCCCCCTCCCCACCTTCCCACCAAGTTTACAATTGTGTGTTGCAGATTCGGACAGCCAGTGCAGCCCCACACGGCAGAGCCTCAGCCTGTCAGAGGGGGAGGAACAGATGGACCGACTACAGCAAGTGGAGCTGGTCAGGACCACCCCCATGGCCCACTGGAAGGCCGGCACCGTCCAGGCCTGGCTGGAGGTGGTCATGGCCATGCCCATGTACGTCAAGGCCTGTGCGGAGAACGTGAAGAGCGGGAAGGTAGGGCACCTCCGGGATCCCAGCGAGAATCCCCCCTGCCCCCTCGCCCCGTCTTGAACTTTACCAACCCAGAACTGACCTGCTCCACCCCCCACACCCCTACCCCCACCCCATCCCAGGGTGAAAGGATGTATTCTCGGAGCCAGCTGAACTGGGTTCAGGCTCCAGGGTCCCCAGTAAAGCACCACGTCTCCCCAGCAAGGCACCTAGCCGTCTGAGCCTCAGTTTCTGCATCTTTAAATTGGGCCCAACCTGCCCGTCCCTGCTACAGGGGGGCAGGACCGGGCTAGAGGGCTCCACGGGCCAGCATGTGATTCCGCTCACCTCCCGGAGCAGAGGTGCGCCAAGGGCTCTGCCCAGACTGCAGAGAGGGAGGGGCAGGGAGATGGGTGGGCTTGGGCTAGCAGACCCCTCCGGGGCTCAGCTGCAGCTGGCAGCAGGTCCTGGCAGCCTCGGGTGCCCACCCCACACCTCCCTTCTGGGCACTCAGTCCTCACCTCCCTGCGGAGCAGGTGCTGCTGAGCCTGAGTGACGAGGACCTAGAGCTGGGTCTGGGCGTGTGCAGCTCCCTGCACCGGCGGAAGCTCCGGCTGGCCATCGAGGACTACCGAGACGCAGAGGCGGGCAGGAGGTGGGTCGGCACGCCGGGGCACCTTGCTCGGGCTGTGCCTTCAGGAAGAAGGGAGAAGAGATTCCCCTGGGACCTCCAGATCACACAGTTGGGGGGTGAACGGGCACTGCAGGGATGGGGGGTGGTGGGCTGTGCCCAGGAATGCCCCTGGCCAGGGGGTCCAGGCAGATCCCAGTCCCGCTCTGGGCCAGCCCTCCCCATAGAAAGATGGGGATACAGGGAATCAGTGAGGCCCCAGGAGCCCATGATCCCTGCAGCCGGGAGGCAGGATGAATTTATGCACCCCCAGAACTTCTCTATCTCCAAGGGCCAGCCAGAACAGGTCTGGGAATTCGGCCAAAATATCTGTACTTCCACCACAATCCCAGCTCTAGCATCCCCGGAGGAGGAAAGGAGGGGTAAGGTGGGGAGAAGCAGAATGCGACAGAGAAGAAATGGACGTGAAAGGCTTTCGTGCCATGTCTCCCCCAGAGGCTGAGGGCCGGAGGGCAGGGGGCCCCCTGTTAGCAAGTGCACCTGGGAATGGGCGGAGTTCCTCCTTTCAGGTGTGTCCTGCTCTCATCCCTCACACCTCCCTCCCCACAACCCACCTCTGTCCTACCTCCTGCCTGCCTCCCTCCTGACATTTTGTGAGCAGCATTTGCTGGGGGCGGGGGGGGGGGCCTCCTTCAGCAAGCAGCTCCAGGGAACCAGAGCACCCCCCCTCAGTCCTCAGAGTGCAGCGGGGGAGAAAGAACGAGCGTCATAAATCTGACACTTTCTGTTTTGCATAATTATCTCCTTCGCTGGTTTCCCCATCGTTTTCATGCAGTTAATTAATCAAACCTGGTGGTGTGTGCTATTATTTGCAGAAGCCGCTTTGTGGATTAAAAAATGAGGGGGCTAAGGCTGGGAACTCAGGCTAGTTTAGGAGCAGGAAACCAAAGGCTTGTGCGTCCTGGAGAGGGAAGCTTAGCGTGATTCCTGGGTGGCAGCAGAGACGTACAAGATCAGATCAGAAACTCAGGTAGCAACCCAAAGCAAGAGAAGCAAGAACATGCCAGCCTCGTCCGCGAGTCAGGACCCTGCGGGACAGGACCTGGGGTGAAGGAGGGGAGAGGGGAGTGATGGGCGGGGGGAGGGGAGCGGTGGGCATGAACTCGCTTTCTTGGAGGGCTTCACCCCTCCTTAGGGTCCCACATGTACCTTACGCTCACCATCCACTCCTAATCAGTGCCTCCCCCCCGAATCCTCTGCCAACTAAGCTAGAGACCCCTCCTGCACCCTTGTCTCCCTCCCAACGTGGTCAGTAAACGCTGACCATGGAACAGGGTAGGGCTGCCTGCTTCACTTCGCAAAAACGCAGGATCCCTGCCCAAGTTCACCCAAAACATGACTGTCCCCGAAATCCCCAGGGAACCAAGATGCCACAGCACCCGGAAGGGCGTGGGTGCAAATTAGCGGTCAGATGTGAACGGAGTTTGACAAATTCTGAGAGCTGAGATCAGGACTGTCTCCAAGGATCCTGTGTCCCCCCCAGTTAGACACCCCCAGGCCTCCTGCAGGAGGGAGGGTCTCATGCCCTGCGGAAATGTGGCCTGTCTCTAACTTGCCGTGGTCTTGCTCTCTCTGGCACCTAGTTTCGCCAGCTGTGAAGTGAAGGGGGTTAGATTAGAACAGCAGCTCTTGTAACTTTTGGAGACTACGGCCACTCAGAATCTCATAAAAACTGTTGACACTTTCCTTGGAGGTGATATTATACAAAACTTGACAACTCTGCATTCTGGGACCCTTTGACTCACTCCTGGAACTTTCAGGGGCCCATGAACTCTAAGGGTAAGAACCCCAGTGAGGTCATCTTCAAGAACACATCCTGTGTGGCTCTGGGCATGACATTGCCCTCTCTGGACCTGGGTTCCCCTTATTTCTAAAATACCGACCACCAAATCCACCAGCCCCATCGCCAGTCGCTGTATGTCCATGATTTTATTTAACCGTCACAACATCAATGTGGGATAGACATTCCTACCCCCATTTTAAAGACAGACAAAGTGAGGCCTGGAGAAATCATGCGTGCAAAGTCATGCTACAAAATACCTCACTTCAGAGTCAATCCCCCTTCCGTTATCCCATGTCACCTCCATGCTAAAAACATCGACAACCCCTACTACTCACGTTTATGGGACACGGAATGAGCCCCAGACTCTGTGCTGAGGGTTTCACGTTCTCTCATCTCTTAGCCTTCCCAGCTTCTGTGAGGCGACCATGATGAGCCCCATTTTGCAGGTGAGGAAGCTGGGGCAGAGACACAAGGTCCCGGAGCCAACGGGGATTGGGCCAGCATGGCCTCGTGTTTTCTGCGTTGAATCATGACCCAGATGATGTCTCAATTCTGTGCCCAAACTCGGATTTTGGGGTCTCATCTAGCGAGCTAGATGAGATTTGGGGCAAGGACAATGTCAAATTTTATAAAACATCTGAATCACTCCTAAAGTCACGCTGTCTTGTTCAACTTGGGCACTTAACGATAGCTCAGACCAACAGCTGGGAAAGTGTTGCCAAGCTGAGGCCCCATGGGGACAACTTTAATGAAAAGAGAACCATTCTGAAGGGCAGACGCACATTAATTGACAGCATGTGGATGGATATTGGGGACTATAAACGGCTTCCTTCTCGTAGGGTCAGCCAGGTGCCCCTCCCCGCCTCCCCATCCCGTGTCTTGTTGCACAATTGATTTGCTGAGCAAGCCCTTCCTCAGGCGGGGGAAGAGGGCTTCTGGTCCCCACAAGTGACAACCCTGGGCCCAGGGCATTGGATGGGAGGGCTGGGAGCTCCCACGCCTGCCCAGGGCAAGAGAGCCCAGATGGTGGCTGGTGATCCCGGGAAGGGCGTGGCTGATGGTCCTGAGAAGGGCTGCTCCGAAGCGAAGGCCTTAAGAAGCGCTGGGAGGAGGTCCACCTGGGACGTTCTCTTCCGAGAAGGGAGCTTGTCTTGGGTCAGAAGTTTCCAGTCCAGGAGCTTGGTCCTGGTGGACTGGAGTCAAGGCCCCAGACTGGCTTTGTCTTCCGTGTGTTGGATTATAGAACTGGGGCTGTTGAGCCCAGGTGGGGTCCCGCCCTCCAGGAGCTGGTGGTCTGCGCCGCAGGGTGGCAGGTGCAGGGATGGGGACTCCGGGGAGCTCTAGGCACAGAGAGGGCCTCTGCTCCAGCACACAAGAGGCCTGGAAGGATTCGGGGCGAGCGAAAGCACCGCAGAGCCCGGTAGCAGTCAAGCAGGGGAAGAGGGTGGCGTGGGGTGGAGCACGGCTGGGAGACGACGGATCCCCGCAGTCCTGGGCGGCTGAGAGGCAGGTAGGAGACCTCGCGAAACTGGGAGCCCAACCCTTCCTTTCCTTGGCCAGTCTTCCAGGGAAGCCTCTGCTGAGTGCTGGGTGCACTAGGCCAGCTCTCCAGAGGGGAACACAGTCTCTGGGCTCAGATCAATTCTTTTTTTTTTTTTTTTTAAGATTTATTTATTTATTTGACAGACAGAAATCACAAGTAGGCAGAGAGACAGGCAGAGAAATGGGGGGAAGCAGGCTCCCTGCTGAGCAGAGAGCCCGATGTGGGGCTCGATCCCAGGACCTTGGGATCATGACCTGAGCCGAAGGCAGAGGCTTTAACCCACTGAGCCACCCACCCAGGCGCCCCAGATCAATTCATTTTTAAAGTTCCATGTGTGACTGATTAGCAGTTTGAGGGAAATAGAGTCAGAGCAGCAGGCTGAGGCACAGCCTTGTGCAAAACGGTCAGAGTGAGCCTCTGCTGGGAGGTGAGGGGTGAGTCCCCGCAAGGCTAGAAGGAAATGAGCCCAGGGAAAGGCCAGCCCCACAGCCCAAGGGGACCAAGAGCTCTTTGCATCCCGTGCATCTGAAAGGACCTCCAGAGCCCCAAGGTCAGGCCAGACAGTGCTGGGCCACTCCAAGGACTTGCTCTGGTGGGTACGCTTTGTCCCTTTCCCCCCTCTTCGACTGACTTTTTATTAACCGAATGTTCTGAACCACTGCTGGCTTACGGGCTACACTTCTTTGTTTCATTTTCGACCATGGTTCTACAGTTTGCAATATACCTCCTTAGCTTACCACTGCCTATCTCAAAGTGATATTATACAGCTTTGTGTAGAGTGTAAGATGCTTTTTGTCCTCTTGCCTTTGTGCTATTGTTTTCATACATTTTTATCTGTATGTGTTAGATGCTCCATAATACGCTGTTATATTTGTCTTCTAAACTGTCCATTCTCTTTTAAGGACATTGGCAGATGAGAAAAATATTTACCCAGATATTTACCATTTCCAATCACCTTTATTCTTTAAAAAAAAAATTATTGTAAAGTACACATATTTATCATCTTAACTAGTTTTGGGGTTTTTTTTTTTTTTTGCTTTTGTTTGGAGAGAGAGAGCGGGGTGGAGGAGGGGCAGAAGGAGAGGGAGAGAGAAAGTCTTAAGCAGGCTCTATGCTCTGTGTGGAGCCCGATGTAGGGCTCGATCTCACAACCCTGAGATCATGACCTGAGCCAAAATCAAAACTCAGACCCTTAACCCACTGAGCCACCCAGGCACGCCCCACCCCCATCTTAACTGGTTTCAAGTGCACAGTTCATTGGTATAAAGTACATCCACATTGTTGGGCGGTCATCCCCACCAGCCATGTCTAGGACTCTCTTCATCTTGGAGAACGGAAACCCTATGCTCATGATAACACAATAAACACTAAGTCCCTGTTCTCTCCCCACCACCCCTGCCCTATAATGACAACCACCCTTCTACTTTCTGCCTTTATGGTTCTGATTACTCTCAGTACCTCATTTAAGTGGAATCACACAGGATTTGTCTTTTGGGGCCCGGCTTATGTCACTTAGCATCATGTCTCCAAGAGTCTTCCATGTAGCACGTGTCAAAACATCCTTTCTTTTTAAAGCTGAATGCATTCCACTGTGTACAGAGAGCAACTTGCTTAGCCATTCCTCTGTTGGTAGATGTTGGCGCCTCCACATTGGATGATGTGGATGATGCTGCTATGAACATGGGTGTATCGATATCTCTTTGAGACCCTGCTTTCAAGTATTTTTTGGTATTTACCCAAAAGTTGAATTGCTGGATCATAAGGTAATTCTATTTTTGACTTTTTGAGGAACCGCCATACTGTTTTCCATGGAGGTTACACCATTTTAGAGCCTCACCAACAGCACACGAAGGTTCTCATTTTACCACACCCCCAACAACAGTTGTTTTCTGGGGGTTTTTTTAGCCATACTAATGGGTATGAAGTGGTATCTCGTTGTAGAGAAATTTGCGCTTCCCTAAGTGACGGGCATCATTTCTTGTGTATATTGGCCATTCGTATGTCTTCTTTGGAGAAATGTCCATTCAAATCTTCCCATTTCTGAATCCAGTGCGTTTCTTTCTTTCTTTCTTTTTCTAATTGTGACTTCTAGGAGTTCTCCTCTTTATTCTTTCATGTGGGTGAAGTTTCCATATGGTTATTATTTTCTTGCCTCTTGAAAAAAGCCCTTCAACATTTCCTGCAGTTTATTCCTCTGATGATAAATTCTCTCAATTTTGGTTGTTTTTTTAAAAAAAACTTTTTTTTCCTCCCTCATTTTTAAAGTAATGAATTTTTTTAGAGCAGTTTTAGTTTCGCAGCAAAATTGAAAGGAAGGTATAGAGAGTTCCCATATCCCTCCTTCCCCCACTCCAGCACGGCCTCCCCCATCATCCACATCTCCCACTGGATGGAGCGTTTGTTACAGGTGAGGAACCCACACCTACGCCTCCCGATCACCCAGAGTCCATAGTTTACATAACGGATCGCTCTTGGTGTTGTGCCCTCTGCGGGTTTGGACGAACATATGGTGACATGCATCCATCATGACAGTATATATGCTGAATAATTTCACTGCCTAAGAAATCCCCTGTGCTCCACCGGCTCATCCTTCCGTCTCCCTAACCCCTGGCAACCACTAATCTTTTGACTGTCTCCATAGTTCTGCCTTTTCCAGAATGTCATATAACGGGAATCATATAGTACGTAGTCTTCAGATTGGCTTCTTTCACTTTGCAAGGCGCATTTAAGGTTCCTCCACTGGGAGGTTTTTTGTTTTTGTTTTTAAGATTTTATTTATTTATTTGACGGATAGAGATCACAGGTAGGCAGCAAGACAGGCAGAGAGAGAGAGGAGGAAGCAGGCTCACCGCTGAGCAGAGAGCCCGATGTGGGGCTCCATCCCAGGACCCTGGGATCATGACCCGAGCCGAAGGCAGAGGCCTTAACCCACTGAGCCACCCAGGCACCCCTCCACTGGGAGCTTTTAAACAGAGGAGGGACATGATCTGATTAATATTTTTAAAAGACCATCTAGCTACTGTGGGTAAAGTGGATGAGAAGGGGCAGGGCCGGCAGGGGGGGATGCAGGGGGAAGTAAGGAGGCAACTGCCAAAATCTATGCCAGAGGTGGTAGGAGCTTGAACCCAGGAAAGGAGAAAAGGGGACAGACATACGGACCAGAGTGACTGACAGACCTGGTGAAGGAGGGGAGAAGAGGGCAAATGAGGACCAGAGCCGGGTGATAGCAGGGGGTGAGGAAGAGCTGGGAGAGGGGACAGGGAATTTAATTTGGAGCCCATCAAAAGTGAAATGTGTGACAGGCAGGAGATACCAAGGCAGCAGGTAGTGAGCAGCAGGGTCTCAGAAGAGAGGAGAAGGGAGAGGTGGGGGTCTTCATTTACAAATGTAACCCAGAGCCCTGGAAATGGTGCCACTGGGGAATGGAGAGTGTGGGGAAGAAGAAAGAAGGGAAGAGCCCAGGAAGGAAGATGTGCCCATTCTGTCACAGCGTCCCTCCCGAGCACAGCGGTCAGCAGCTGTTCAGTGTGCACTGGTGGAATGAAGGACAGCGAGGACCCATATAGGAGCACCAGCAGGGGGGCGCTGCGGTCAGCTCTGCTGCTGTCCTGGATAAGGGACTGGGAGGACCCAGGGGCAGGGAGACCCGTTGGAGGGCAGAGTCCAGGGCGACACAGAGGTGCCCAGAGTGAGCAGTGGAGAGTGGAAAGGAGGAAGCTGAGTCAGGAGCTGAAGTCCCACTCAAGAGTGGCTGGTGGGGCAGCTCTTAGAGATGGGGGCACAGGGAGGGGCTGGGAAGAGGGTGTAGGGTATTTTATCTGGGGGGAGGGGAAGAATGCCGGTCCTGATCCCAGACCTGGGGAGGAGGGCAGTGTCGCTATGTAAGCCCATATTTCCCTGTCAAGTCCTGATCCCTTAGTGCCCGCCCCCCCACCCCAAGCTCAAGTCCCTCCGCAGGTGAGATGCTCTGTTTTCATTCCTTCTGTGAGGCTGCCACCTTGTGGCAATCAGGGAAATGACAGCCTGGGGGAGGCTAGGATCATCCTACCTCTTTCTGCATTGGAGAAATACTGGTTGTGCCCCTACTGTGTGAGCAGCACTGAGACAGGTGTGGGATAGAGAGAAAGCTGAGATAGAGCGGTGAGGAGAGAAGGCTTGAAATAGGCAAAGCGGGGGTTTTAATTCTGATTCCAAGACGTGCCACCGTGTGACTCTGGGCAAAGTCTGAGCTTCCTGGTTTGTAGAACGAACGAGGAGAAATGGCCCAGGCCACAGCTCTGTGGGCTGCAGGGATACTGCAGAGGAGTGTGCCGAGGAGACCACACCCAGGGGCAGGTGGGGATGCTGAGAGCTCCCGGATATGTCTCCTCCCTCCGACTCGTCCCTGCTGCTCTGCCACCGTCTCTTTCGACTCGGCGTATCTGAATGTGCTTTCTTCCCTTTTCCCATTCCCTTTGTCTGCCTCTCTGTTGATCCCCCTTCTCGTCTTTGGGGCTCGCTCTCTGTTTCTCCGTCTGTCTCTATCTCTCTCCTTCCACTCTCTGCATCCGCCTCTCTCCCCATCTCTGCTTTGTCTCTTTCTTCCTCTCTGTCTCTCCACTCCATCCTTTTTCCTGCCCATCTCTGAGATTTCTTGGTCCCCCACTTTCCCCCACCCTGTTCTTTTCCCTCTATCTTCATCTCTGCCCGTCTCTGCCCCATTTCTACCCCTTTCCTCTGTTTCTGCCACCTGCCCCCACCCACCTCTCTCTCTGGCCATGTCTGTCCTCACCAGCCTGTCCAAAGCCGCTGACCTGGACCATCACTGGGTGGCCAAGGCCTGGCTGAATGACATCGGGCTATCCCAGTACTCTCAGGCCTTCCAAAACCACCTGGTCGATGGGCGAATGCTGCACTCCCTGATGAAGCGGGATCTGGAGAAACACCTGAATGTGTCCAAGAAGTTCCACCAGGTCAGCATCCTGCTGGGGATCGAGCTGCTGTACCAAGTGAACTTCAACAGGGAGGTAAGGACCAGAGCAGGTGGTGGAGGCATCTTCCACAGCCCTTCTTTCTGCCCCTGGCTCCCATTGTCTGTCCACCCAACTATCTGCCCATCCAGGCATCCATCGCACCGAGGTCCACCAACCTCGTCATCCACGCACCCATCCACACACGCACCCATCCCTTCCCCTCTCCCTCCCTTCTTCCAACAGCTGCTTACTGGACATGGGTCAGGCCCTGTGTCCAATTCAGGGAAAGTGGGGAACCCTCATCCTCCAAGAGTTCTCTGCCCATCAGGGAGAACCACAACGAAGCTGGCGTCACCATACCATGGAAAGTTGGCCCAATGAGGGAAGTCCAGGATTTTATGAAAACCCAAAGGTGTAGCTTCCAGAGGGATCAGGGAGGGCTTCCCTGAGGTCGTGACAGCTGGACTGAGACCTAAGAGAGGAATTCCAGGCATCAGTCAGCAGGAGGTGTGAGGGAAAAGCAACCTAGCAGAGGGAACAGCATGAGCAAAGGCCCAGAGGACAGACTATGGGGTCCCAGGGTTGGGTCTAAGGGGGAGTGAACAGGGAGGCCAGCTAGGTGACCAAGGACCAGGGGAGAGTCAGGGTTTGGGCTCTGACTGCCCCTTTGATTCTGAGCCCTGCCCAGTCAGACAGCATGGGACACCTGCTTCAGCTCCCCCGGGACCCAGATATTCCCGAGGCCGCTGGGCCCTGTGGGGCAGAGGCTGTCCAGATGGCTTTGTTTTCTTAGAGTGAGGTCAGAGCACAAGCTGCTCAGGGTCAGGAGGAGCGGCACAGAGGAGGGATCTGTCCGGCTCTTCAGCCCTTCTCACACACCCCCACGCAGGCCCTGGCACTGGAAGTAGTGAGGTGTGGGCCCTGCCCCCACCCCCAGCCCGGGGAGGCGCAGTCTGGTGAAGGAGGGAGACCTGCCGGAAGATCTCTTTGGAGGCCCGGAGCCCTTTGTCTTGGGGGCCAGTCCCCCCAGGGAGGCTGGCAAAAGGGGACCAGGCTGATTCCTCCCCATGTTACCAGGGGTGATGTTTTGTAGGTGACGCTCATTGTCCCCGGGGACTGGGTGCACCCACAGAAGACAGCCCTTCATGGAAGATGCTCATTGTTGGGCCCCTACTCCATGTCGGGAAAGCGGGGGTCTGGGTTGTATAAACTAGGCAGCAGCAAGTGGGTCACACCCAGCCCTCCCCCCCGAGAAGCAGGCTTCTCCCCATTTCCCAGAATGAAAGGTCAAGCCCTGGATTGACAGGGCCAGAGAAGCCGGTGCTCGCCGGCCAGAGCTCCTCCTTGTACCAGCATGCCAGGGCCCCCCCAGCACCGTGAATGCTTGCTCCTTGGGACCCCCTACGTGCTCCCCCACCCCCAACTGACCCACTGTCTCCCACCCCCAACAAGGTCCTCCAGGAGCGCCGCGCCCGCTGCGAGACACAGAACATAGACCCCGTGGTCTGGACCAACCAGCGGGTGCTCAAGTGGGTGCGGGACATTGACCTGAAGGTGAGGGGCTGGCGGGCGGGGGTTGGGAGTGACTCACAGGCATCTGTAAATCCCATGCACATTTGTGTGTCCATTTTCTGTGAGCCAGTGTTGTCACCCAAGTGGGCGAGAATGCCTGCCTCCTGTCACTCAAGAAGAGGGAGCTCTCACCCCACCCCTACACCAGGACCCCATTCATGATGGCTTTCCCATAGCAGGGGTGGAGAGGCTGGGCTGTCCTCTGAAGCAGGGCTGGGCCAAATCCAGGCCCATCTCATCGGACAAGTATTTATGGGCTGCCTGGCAAGATCTGGGGTTACGTCAGTGACAAAGTAGTCTTGGTCACTGTCCTCGTGGCCCTAAAAGAGTGGGGGCATTCCTTCTCTGGCTTATACTGCTTTATACTGCCCGGTCCCCAGGGGGACAAGCCCTTGCTGTGGGGGGCATGTCCCCACCTGGAGCACGGCAGCTCCTCAGGACACCTCGGGATGACAGGGTGGCCCTCTCAGCCTCAGAGGGCAGGACACCAGGGCAGACCTGTCAAGCTAACAGGGCAGCCCTCCACTGCAGCCTGACCATCCCCGTGCCTTGCCCTCAGGAGTATGCGGACAACCTGACCAACAGTGGCATCCACGGTGCTGTGTTGGTGCTGGAGCCCACATTCAACGCCGAGGCCATGGCTACCGCCCTGGGCATCCCCAGTGGGAAGCACATCCTCCGAAGGCACCTGGCAGAGGAGATGAGCGCCGTCTTCCACCCAGCCACGTGAGTGTGGGCTGCTGGCTCCCGCTCTGGGGCTCCAGAAGCTGGTGATCCTGACCTCCCCCGGCTCCCTCCCTTCCCGGATCCCACTACTTCCCTACGACACAGTGGCCTCCTTCTACGGATCAGGAAACGGAGGCTCCAAGAAGCAAAGTGCTTGAGCCTGAAGGTCACAGTTGAAAAAGAGGTGGCCACGCCAGGCAGGGAGAGCTGCGGAGACAGAGGTTTGGAGGCAGGAGTGAGGATATTAACGGTGCTGATGGTCCCGGTGAGCTGGCCACGTCAGCCTACTGATCCCAATCTCCTCATCGGAAAAGTGGCCAGAGAAAAAGCACCTGGACAGACAGATTAGATGCCCTCCTAGTGGACTCTCTCCTTAAAATAATTGCACTTAAGCTAAAGTCACCATTTAGTGGACACTTGATGTGGGTACTAATTTCATCCTCATGACAAGACCAAGAAATTGGTGTCACTATCCCTCCTTTATAGATGGAAACATCTCATTTGAAGGGGGCCAAAGTACTTGCCCAAGGTCACACAGCTAGTAAGGAGCTGAGCCCAAATTTGTCCTTTGCTCTATTAATATGACATATTACATTGGCTTTCATACATTGAACCAACCTTGCATTCCTAGGATAAATCCCACTTGGTCCTTTTTACATGTTGCTGGACTAGGTGTGCTAGCATGTTGATGAGGATTTTTTACACCTGTATTTGTAAAGGATGTTGGTCTGCAGGGACTTTTTCTTGTGATATTTTTGCGTGGTTTTGGTATCAGAGTAATGCTGGCCTCATAGGATGAGTTAGGAAGTGTTTCCTCCTCTTATTTTTCTTTCTTTCTTTCTTTCTTTTTTTCTTAAGAGTGTGTGAAGGATTGGTGTCATTATTCCTTAAACATTTGGTAAAATTCACCGGTGAAACCACATGGTCCTGAACTTTTCTTTGTGGAAAGTTGGGTTTTTTTTTTTTTCCCCTACTTCAATTTTGTTATAAATCTGTTCAGATTTTCTATTTCTTCTTGAATCAGTTTGAATAGTTTATATCTTCCTGGAAATGTGTCTTTCATCTAGGTTAGCTAATTGGTTGGCATAAAGTTAATTATTTATTTATTTATTTTTAATTTTTTATTTTAAAAAATATTTTATTTATTTATTTGACAAAGAGAGAGCACAAGTAGGTAGAGAGGCAGGCAGAGAGGGGGGAAGCAGGCTCCCTGTTCAGCAGAGAACCTGATGCGGGGCTCGATCCCAGGACCCTGAGATCATGACCTGAGCCGAAGGCAGAGGCTTAACCCACTGAGCCACCCAGGTGCCCCCATACAGTTGATTTTATAATAATTTCCCTATAATCTTTCTTATTTCTGTAGAACTGGTAGGGCTGTCTCCTCTCTCATTCCTGGTTTCAATCATTTGAGTCCCTCTGTAATCTCCGTCAGCCTAGCTAAAGCTTTGTCCATTTTGTTGAGCTCACATTTGAATCTGAAGCTCTCTGAGTCAGAACCCTGAGTGCCGAACCCCCAAACCACATGAAGCCTCAGGAAGCAGCTGGGCCACACCCCATGTTATACAGAAACTGAGGCTTGGTGGAGGGGGCGGCGATTGTGCATCTGTGGCAATGATCCAAAGTCTTGAACTGCCCTTCCCCGTCGGCAGGCTGGTATCCAAGAGATTCTCAGAGTGAGATCCACAGACCCCGACAGCAAAATCCTTGGCGGCGACATGGCCCAAACGCAGATCTATAGGACCAGTATTTACTGGGAGAGCCCAGGAATCTACACTTCGGGCATTTTTAAGTAGTTCTATGGAGACCAGAGTTTGACAAGAACCGTAGTCCATGAGCCATGATGCAACAGGTGCAGGAAAGAGGCTTTTCTCCTAAGAATTGTCCACCTTCCTTGACCCCCCTCTGGCGCCATGTGACTTGTAACGGCCTTAATATATTCTGAGCCCTGGACAGGAAGCACTAGCTAAAGATTAGCAGGCATCCATGTGTCTGATTAAACCCTTGACCGCCCCTAAGGTCACAGGTGCATTAAGGACCATCTAGAATTCATGGGTGAGCCCTGGGGAAGTTTCTCGTGGGGCACAAATAGGGTGGGTTCTTATGCTGTTGGCGGGCCAGGGATTCCCTTGGGAATGACAGGAAAGCAATCCTTCCAATAAGAGGATAAGGAAGAGGAAAGTGGACTTGGTCCTCATCCTCATTTTACAGACGAGGGGTCTGAGCTGGTCAGCCAGGGCACGGAGAGGCAGTGTCTGTCCTTGGCCCAGGTGTCAGTTCTCCTCGGAGCCCTTTGCTGAGAACTTGCCACAGGCCATGGGAAGAGATCTCAGTCAACTCGGGGGAAACAGAACTTCATGAGTTCCTAAGAAATTTTAGAGACCATCCCTGTTGGCACCAAGAGTCCCCGGCTAAGCAAAACACCAGGAGAGGATGTGATCTCCAGGCCTGGTTAATATCGCCTCGGTACTTAATCACATGCCTGCGGATTATATTAACCAGGTTCTTCAGGCTTTGCCCCAAGGACGTCTCTGCAGCAGTCCAAGCAGTGAAGATGCCCTGCCCACTGCCCTCTTGCTCCCCCTCCTTCTGTTGCTGACTTCAGCTTTCCGGAGAGAGAGGGAGCAGGGCAGGTGGTGCTGGCCCTTTAAGGCGAGTCCTTCCAGAATGCTCTGATGGGGTGGAAAGATTCAGATGGAGAAACATCCCTGCCCAAGAGCTAACCCAAGACTCCATCCCAGGATGAATCCAAGGCTTGGAGCCTGATGGAAGGCTAGGGCAACACAGTGCATGAAGCAATTGGAAAAGGAACCCAGGTACAGCGAGGCGCCCAACAACACAGCTATTATCAATGATTTTTCCAAACCCACTACCAGCACCTCCCTTTCTTCCACCACAGGGGAAATGGCTGGAAAATGGGTTCAAATCCGGGCTGTGCTGCTGTCTCCTGTATTAGACACAAGCCAGTGACTTCAACCCTCTGAACCTCAGTCTCTCATCTGTAATATGAGAACATGAGTCCTCTCTTCCCTGCGGCTTTGTTAGGATTCCAGGAGGCAAACTGTAGGCAGTGCTCCTGACACAGACCCCCCTCCCGAACAACTGATAGTTCCCGCCTCCCGGCTTCACACACGCATCGGAGTGTCTCCGTGACGTGCTTTCCTCTGGAGCTGGTTACGTGGGGCCCTCCTTACTGTTGATGTGCTTGTTCGGGCTTTCTCCTTAGCATTTCAGTGAGAAAGAGACATTCCTCCGTGAGCTCCGACAGACTTTGCCGTCAAGCACACAGAATAAGACGCCTTGTCACGTCTCCCACCTCCGTGGCTGGCAGGCTTCCCAAGCTACAGATTGGGGGGACAGGGGTGCTCCCAGGGGGGAAGGGACACACTGAGATATTCGGGCACCCATGACAAGGTGATGTGTTAGGACGTTCTGCCCACCCAACCCCTGGCAGTGATTGAAATGTGAGCCTAGGGACCAGGTGCTGGGGTGGTTCAGGGGTGATCCCATGTAATACGGGGGACACAGCAGGGCCTTCAAGGGCTCAAATCTGGCTCCTCCTTCATCATCTGTGTGATTTTAGGCAAGAAACTTGCCCCCTCTGAGTCTCAGTTCCCCCAATTTGAAATGGGGATAATCACCCCTTCTCAGGGTTTCTGGAAGGGTTCAAGGACCTCAACTCCGTCCTTACAGCGAGAAAGTAGGCTATGACAACATGGAAACTAATGGGCGTGGCTGGGTTCCAATAAAACTTTATTGGCAAAGTCAGTGGGCTGGCTGCCGGCTGCAGTTCGCCAAATCCTAGTCTAACAGAAACCTTCGATGCTTTGACACGAGGAGCAGTGGGGTCGCTTCCGGCACTAAGTCAGTGGTGGGGGCAGGGGACACAGATTTCAAATGCAGAGTGGGGGAGATTTTCCCAATGCTTCTCAAGTCAAAGCAGTGAGCTCAAATGGGGGGGTTCGCCCACCCAGTCCTCCCTTTCCTGGGAAGGTTTGTAGCATGCTGGAGGGGGAAGAGCGTGACCTTGGAGTCTCAGAGACTTGGTTTCAGGTCTCGGCTCTGCTGCTCCCAGCTGGGTAATCCTGGACAAATTGCTTAACCTCTCTGGGCCTCCCCCCGCCCTTGCCCCAACTGTCATGCAGGGATGCTGTGAGGATTGCATTCAGAAAACGTTTAGCATGCGGGGGCACACAGGAGGTCCACAGTAAATCACAGCAGTTATGGTCATTGTCACCCATGGGAAGAGTGTGTGTCTCTTGGGAGGGCTGTAGCTGACTCAGTATGGGTCTCTGTCTAGCTCCTCAGGCATCCGGGAGGCTGAGCGTTTCGGGACACCCCCAGGGAGGGCCTCCAGCATCACGCGGGCCGGGAAGGAGGAGAACAGCGGTGGCGGTATCAAGTACAAGGCTGGCCGGGTAAGTCACTGGATGCCTTCACCTGTGAGTCCTACAGCCCGGGGGAGGTCTTGTTGTCATCTGTCCCCTCCTAGCTCCTCTTTGGCCTGTGGAGGAGGACCGAAGGGCCAGGTCACAGGTGCAACCAGGAGGGAGGAAGTCACCATCAGCTGACCTGCATGATGCTTAAGCCCCACCCCCAACCCCCCCCAACCTCCCCTCCCCACCAACCCCGTTCCCCCCAGGCTTAGAGTAGCATCTGGAAGCACAGGTCTCACTTGCCTGCATCAGGGTCACCTGGGCAGCTGCTTTACAGGACATTCTGGGCCCCACCTGGGTCTCAAAGCCAAGGCTCTGGGGTCGGGGGGAGCCCTCGCTGCAGCCAAGGTTTTGAACTTCAGCGACCCGACCACCAGCCACAGAGTAGCCTCCGGTCTATGAGAGGGCGTGCAGTTTGCCTCTGTTCACCCAGACTCAGACTGACCCCGATTCCTAAGTGGAAGCGTGTCAGCACAGACGGGAGAAGCGGATAATCCAAAATCCTCCCGTTCACTAGGCAAACATTTTTTGGGTACTGATGGGATTGGAGGCACCATCCTGAGTGCGAATGGGGAATGCATGAGTCAACTCCCACCGTACTCTCCCAGTGAGCTCAGTCTAGACCACGCAGTCTTGAATGGAGTAGAAATTGGTTCCTAGGGGGAGAGGCAAACCCCTCACCCTTTCTCTCTATGAGGAACAGGTATATATACAGGACGTGAACAGAAGCACAGTGTCTTTGGTGTGAAAACTTCATGGTGGGGGGCGGGGTGAGTAGGGGGAAAATATCTTAAAAGGCTCCTTTTTTAAGGTGGCAACACTGACCAAAAGGTTGAGGAACAGTGGTCTGGAAACAAAAGCAGTCGGGGACATGAAGAGTTACAAAGCGCTGTCTGGACTATTAGCATAGAGAGATGTTCACAATAAGAGAAAAATCTGTCTGGGAGCCTCGTGCGTCTCACAATAGTAGCTACCCTTTGCCAGTGCCTCGCCGTGTGCTTTACAGGTCTGATTTCTACTCTTCACGACTACTCTGAGAGAAAGGAATCACTATTCCCCCTTGGAAACTGAGAAAACGGAGGCTCAGAGAAGGCAGGCCACTGGTCCAGGGTCACACAGCTGGAAAGTGACAGAGCAGGGATCCACACCCCGGTTTGTGAGCCTCCAAAATACATGCTCTTTCTGCCACACCAGGAGGTGCTAGAATATTTCTTCCTGACCCGGGAACATGGTCAGACTTCACGCCCATGCTCAGATTTTCTCATTTCTCCTCCATCGTACCCATTCTCAACTCTCCTCCCCCTGAGGAGGGAGATGGGAGGTTTTTGAGGATAATCAAAATAAGACTGTATTTGTCCTCACCCTTGGCAACTACCAGTTCCTTCAGTTGGGAACGTGAAGCTCTCTCATGAGGTTAGCTCCAAAATCCTCTCAGTGTCTCTGAGCAGCGGAGTAGGATTACTAATAGGAGGAGCACAGAGAGGTTAGATAAGTTGCTTAAGGTCACACAGCAATTAGAACGGGGACCTCCACATTCCCCAGATCCAAAACACTCAATTCCTCTTCTCTTCTCCCCACTGTTTCCTCTTATTTCTCTCCTCTCAGCTGCCCCTGGGGAAGATAGGAAGGGGCTTCAGCAGCAAAGACCCCGACTTTCATGATGACTATGGCTCTCTTCAAAATGAAGACTGTGGAGATGATGACCCCCAGGGCAGGCCAGAGCAGTGCCGTCTGGAAGGCTACAACGGCCTCGAGGTCACCAACGTGTAAGGAATGGATTCTCCACCAGACCCAGCACAAACACACCCAACCGAGGACGAGTATCCAGATGCTGTCACCACTGTACATAGCGACCGCGGGCCAAGGATACTCCTCTACTCCTGGGCAAAACCCCAGCAGATGGGAGCTCCAGGGAACAAGGTGGCTCCAGTCTGCCTGTCTCGAGCAGGCTGTGGACCTTCCAGTTCGGTGGAAGGACCTGTCGACATAGCCTCTCTGTAACCCAGGCTCCCCCTCAGAGTGATTGTCAGCCAGTGAGCAGTCCAGGCGGTCCCTGGAGCCTTGAACAGAGCTGCCAAGAGGGAAGGAGGCCGGCGGTTCCCCAAAACACCCTTCCAGAAGGAGCAGGCGGGACTCCAATCGGACACGCAGAGGCCAGCACCGGCAGTGCTAGGAGCCAGCAAAGCATGAGGCTAACCAGTGGGCCCTTCTGGCCAGCCTCAGGGAGCTCTTGGCTCCAGTCCCCGTATCCCCAATGACTGAGAACTCCGGTTCTGACTTGGGTCACTGAATCTCTCTTGGGAGAATGCAAAATGGGATGGTCATTCCCTTCCATCCTAAAAGCCGTGTTTCACATGGGGTGGACACGTAGAATGGCTATTTGCCTTCTCCTCCCATGAGTGGCTGCTCTGGGCAGGTGGAGGCAGGTGGGTGATCAGGGAGGGGTGGGGCTTAGCAGCAAAGTTTCCAGGAAATGCAGATTTCCTGTCACTGGGATAAAGGATATCCTGAGGATAGGAGCGGGGATGATGGACTTAGATCAGTGACAACCAACTATGACAGTGGGTTTGGGATTGGGAGCAGGGAAATGCTTGTCACTGTTGACCCAACAACAATGACACTTGGTTGTGATTTCTCAGTCACCTGAAACAGGTGTGCTTCCCAGCGCCCTCACTGAGATGAACCTTGCAGAGCAAAGTCATGAAGGTGGTGGAGAGAACCCCCAGCCCTTTGCCTGACTCTGCCACTGTTCTGCTGTGTGACTTCTTCCCGGTGGCCTCACCTCTCTGTGCCTCAACGTCTTCATCTACAATACTCCTGGCTCCCTCCCAGGGACGTCATGAGAATTAACACTTGCTAATGTCTGTAACACACTTTGTAACCTCTCAGGAGACAGGTGGGAAGGTATGGGGACAGAAGGAATGGCCCGACATCCCATTCATGACACAGAACAGACATTGAACGGGTCCTCTGCAGCTGTGTTCTGGTTGGGGCCATGTGCAAAAGGAGGACAAGGAATGCCTACCGTTCAGACTCTCTAGAGCCCCCAGTAGGGCTTGACCAAAGAGAGAGGGGAAAAGCCCACGTTACACCACCCTGGAAAACCAATCTGATTCAAGTGTTCGGGCTTGAGCCTGTTGACCTTGGCATTGAGTGATGATTTGGGAGGGCCAAGATGCATTGGGGTTCTACTGATGCTTGGGTTGTCAGAATCATTGTTGGGATCACAACACTGAAGCCATTTGCCCAAGAGTCGTGAGAGTTCTGAATTTCCAAGACTTGACCAGGTAAGTGACAGCCTCTGAGAACCATCAAAGCCCACGTTCTTCAACCCAATGAACCGTTTGCCCTCCTAGCAAAAGCCTCAACCAAGGTGTGATGAACTTGAGAATGACTCCTCCCCAGGGCTGACGACCATGGTTTTCTCTCTGACCTTAAGATAAGCACAGCTTTTCTTGCCCCTGGAAACCAAACACCTGGCTGGTGGACTGAATGTTTAGCCTCCGAGGGTCACATCTCTGACTCCAGGGCCCTGAGGGAGAAGCTCCGGTATCTAACTTAGCTTTGCTGGGGTTCCGAACCCCAGGATCCTCATGACATGCAGCCACACAAGGCGCCTGAAGATGCAGAGCCCACAGCCAGGATTGGGGGGCTCCCCTCTAACCTGATGCCACAGGTCCCTCCCAAGCCAGCATCCAGGCTAGGCGACCCGGGGCCCCAGGATCTGCCTCTTGCAAGCCAGGCGGGAAATGATTCCCACAGGGTGAGGAAAGGTGGCACAAGGGGGCCCGCGTGCAGCTCTGAAGCTTTAAAGCCAACGTTGACCCGAGTTGTCAGACATGAAGCTGACACTCCCCCCCCATTCATTCCCATAGGGGATAAGATGGGCAAGTGGACAATTCGGGGGGGTCACTGGCGGGGATGGCATTGATCTCCCCCAAATTTGCAGCATCAGGCCAGCAGGCCTGGGGCAACGCGAACAATGTTGAAAGCACCTTCCCAGTCCCAGTGGTACATTTTCTCCCAGTCCATGGTCCCATCCTTCGCAGCCAGAGGAGCGTTTGGAATCGGCTTTTCACACAAGGACAGGTCGGCTGATAAATTAACAACCTCCACACACAGTCAAATCCGGTGGGCTTTGTCTGCTGAAGAGAAAATCCCAAACGTCCGCTCTGCTTCAAGGGTGGGCAGGACTGAGCCGAGAGATTCTGGGAGCAAACGGACTACAGCTGGCAGAGTGGCCACGGACGGAACAGTGACCCACCACGGCCTGTCCACAGGGCCCAAGGTGTGGTCTTGGGGCTTTTGGACCTGGGAATGCTTCTTGGAGAGGTGTCCTCGGCGCCCATGGGTACTAGCCCCTTAAAAAGAGGTAGTCGGTGCCATAGGTTGGGGAGAACCAGAGTAAGCAGAGGCACCCCGTGTTTCTGTGAGAAGCTGGGGACCCGAGCCCTCGGAAGGCACCTGCCCGGCAGACTCTCGGCTTTAGGACCCCAGACCCCTCTGAAAGGCCTCTTTGTCATTAGCTATGCAGAGACTTTCTCCTAAAAATCTGTCATCAGGGTCCAGGTTACAGAAGGCAGGAAGAAGCTGCAAGAAAACCTGGACCAGATGCGGGAGAAGGGAAGGGGCCTTTGCACAGCCCAGAGTCACAGGGGCGGGGGAGGGAGAGCTCAGAACAGTGACCCCGCATCTTGAGGTCCCTCAACAGGGCTGCATGTGGCAGAATGGGAAGATTCAGCAGGACGAGATTTCGGTGTCTGCTGTGGGGGACCCCGGAACCCTCTATGGCTCCAAGCTTAGCCCTCCCACCCCCCGGCAAAAACCGTATGTCCGGGCACCGTCCCTTCCACACTGCTCTTCCAGGCTCCAGCGGCTCCCAGCAGCGGAGCGGCAAGGAGCAAAAAGCCAGGGGACACAGCAGCTTCCGAAGCCAGCATTACTGCCAACGGCTGGCTGGTGAGAAGGACTTCCCAACACAGAGGCAGCTTGTGGCTGCACAGAGAACCAGTTATCCATGAGCAGAAATGATGCCCCTGGCCTTTCCGTGGCTGGTCACGGCCCTGTGTCTTCCGAGGAGTGAATTTTAACACTGTAACAATAAATACTACTGCACAGTGCTTTACTGATCAGGTAGCCTTTTTTTCTCATTTAATCTTGCCAACAGCCGCTTTGAGAGAGGAGATTACCGACCCATTTCCTAGATGGGGAAACTGAGGTTGGGGAGGTGGAGGAGCTTTCCCAGCTCCAAAAACGCTAAGAATTCCCAAGGCAGGGACTCAGACTCAGCCCTCTGCTTCCCCACCCAAGGCTTGTCTGACCCCCCCTATGCGATTCCCACCACTCCCATGTCGGGGATCCACCCCTTCCCCTACCTCCCAGGGTAGGACCTACTTCACCAGGTGACATCACTCCAAGTGGAGTTCAGATGCGCTCTGTCCTGCTGGAAAAGCCTGGGGCCTGCCCTCCTGGTGCCAGGAGGGAAGCATCTGACACGTGACCCCTCCCTTAGCATCAGCCACTTGCCTGTGTCACTCATCCCAGGGTACTCATTTTCAGCTCAGGCTGCCGTGACAAACATTACAGACTGGGGGGCTGACACAATAGACATTTGTTCTTCCCAGTTCGGAGGCTGGGCGTCCGAGATCCAGGGACCAACTGATCCTGCTCTTGGGCCCTCTTCCTGGCTCGCAGAAGCTCAGGCGTGGCCAGGGGGACTGAGCACAGACAGCGGTAATGTGATGGAAGGGTGGGGGCTCCCAGAGGACCTATGAACTGAATCCTAAGTTCTGAGGAGCCAGCCCTGCTAAGACCCTGGGGAAGAACATTCCAGGCAGTCCGAACTGAGCTGGGTGCTGAGGATATAGTGGTGAATGAAGTCCTGCCCAGGTCTGCTGTTGCAGACCTTCCAGTCCAGAGGGGAAAAGAGACACAATCAACTACTCCTCGAGCAATGGGAGAGTGTAACCACGACCGGTCTTGAGAGCAGAGGTAGCTGGTAGTTGGGAGGGCTTATCACATGGGCATTTACTGTAGTCAAGAGGAGGTGAGGCCTGGAGAGAGGAGAGTTCAGCAGGTGAAGAGGAAAGGGAAAAGGATTCTAGAGAGTAGGGGCAGCATGTGCAAAGGTCCTGTGGTAGGAGGGCCAGAGTAAGTAGGGCTGAAAAAAGGCCCACATGGCTGGGAGAAAGAAGTGAAGGGCTCATCTCCCAAGAGTGCTGGAGGGACCTGCTGGGCTCCTGCTGATCTGTGTCACTCTTATTGCAAGCAGAGCTTTCTAATAGGACATGAAGTCCCACCTTTTGCCGACGGGTCCCTCTTTCCATTTGCTCTAGATCACAGCTAAACTGGGCTCCTTGGGCCACAGAATGACACAATGGGTCCATGAGGTGGCTCCAGGGCTGTCAGGGCAGAAATGACTTGAGGCCAACAGAGGTGTCACGTGCCTCTTTCGTGACCACAAGTAGAAACCTGAGATGTCTCTTTGAAGCCCTGCTCATCAAAAGAGGATAAGCAGAGTCTCTGGGTGGAATCTCATTGGCTCCGTGGGATGGGGTCTCCAGCCTACCAGCGATGGGGACAGCCCACCGGGTCTCATGTCCTGAGGGATGAGTGCCCGTGGCTCTTAGGGGACTCTGGCAGTGGGTGCTTTAATGTGGCCCAAAGGTTTTCTCTTCCCTGATTCAGGTCTCCCCTCCCTAGCAGTGTGGCAAGCATGGATCCCAGGGGAGAAGAGCCCCCCTGATATTCAGAGGGCAAGAAACTTGAGTCCCAGTACCCAGCAGTTCACAGGAGCAGGGACAGATTCAAGGTCAGATCCAGAGGTCAGACCTAATAACCGCCAGCCTTGACTGGACACACATGCCCTGTCCTTTACCGCAGGGTTTCCCAACCTCAGCACCGTTGACGTTCAGGACATACTTTGTGGGGGGCCTGTCCTGGGCATTGCAGAGTACATAGCGGTATCCTTGGCCTCTTCTTGGTAGATGCTGGGATCGGCCCCTCCCCCTTCTAGTCATGACAACTCCCATATTTTTCCAGACATCACCAATGTCCCCGCCCTCTGGTTGAGAATCCCAGCTGGATATGTTTTTGCCCGTTGAATCCCCCCAGCAACCCCTTCAGGTAGGCATGGCTTTTCTCATTTGACAGATGGGGACACTGAGGCATGGAGCGGTTGTCTAGATTCCCAGGGTCCTGGATGAGTGAGTGGGACCGGGGAGCAGTCTGGCTCTTGCCAGAGTCTGGGCTCGAAACCAATGGCCTGAGGCTGAACGGCCACACCCAGCTGTTACAGTAAAAAAAAATCCTAAAGCCAGGTGCTCCCAGGGCAGAAGAGACTTCCTTCGTATTAAGCACGACATTATTGGAAGCTGGACCCGCTCCTTCTGCTGGACAGAAAATTGCTCTGTAAATTACAGGTTTGAAGGCAGCCCCACGAGCTCCTGGCTTAAAACAAGGTAATAATTTAGGGCCTAGAACGGTCTGGTTGAGTGAGTTCCTATAATAGCTAATCTCACACCACACCCCCATCGTACCCATTTTATTAAGCCACAAACAAAAAAACAGGAAACAAAAGCATAGGTTTGGGACACTCGCCCAAGGTCTCGTAGCAAATTAGTGACACCAGCTGAGGCACTGGCCCACCTTCCTCTTCCAACCCCGCCTGGAGTCACAGACCTGGGCCAGGGCTGACTGTCCCTGCAGGCTCGGTCACAGACCCAAGCTGTGTGGTCTGGGGCCCATTCCTTTCCCTGTCTGGGCCTCCCTATCCCTGCCGAGCATGTTTTCCCCTCCTCCGCCAGAATTGGGGGATAGCTCCCCCTTCCCTTCTCGGGGGTGGGGCTGATCCCGGGGCTCCTCTTCCCCTCCCTGCCTCCATCCCCCCTCCACCTCCACTCCTGCCTTCAGGGACATCACAGGATCCTGGATGGACCAATTCCAACCCTCGGCCCCAAGGCAATACAAATGGCCCCAAGAATGGGCGCTGAACTCTGGAAGGGGAAAACCTAAATGCGTTCACCGAGATGCTTCCAAATAGGGACTGCAAGGTTAGCTCTCACTTTCCGTTTGGATCTGGAGCCCTAAGATGTGCCCCAAAGTTGCAGACTGTGTGTCCTTCCCCAAGAGGATGCCCCAGAGAATGGGGGGAACAACCCAGGGCCAGAGTACAAGATGATGAAGGCAGCAGGATCGTACACTCCCTGGATCAACCTGTCGCTGCCGGTTCCACCC